GGTATGCCATACGTGTTGCAAGTGCCGACTAGGGTGGGTACACTGGCTGACTGTTTGCCACTTGTACCCGGGTTTTAGATGATGTTAAATAGCTGAAATATTGCTGACTGTGGTGTAAAACGAATCCGATGCCGATGCAGAAATTTTTGTCCCTTTTATATACCAGCCAGGACACAAACATTTTTAAAATTAAAATTGTTACATTTTGCTTTCTTTTTGACATATGTACAATGTAAAATAATGTATGTGTATATCGTTAATAGCTGAATTGATTAAAGCTTGGTGTATACTGGGTTTGTTTTCACTCTTAACCTGTTATGAACCCATTGTGAGAATGATGAAAAGGATTCAGAATTTAATGGTTGTCTTGGTAAAATCAAATTGTTCCTCGTGTTGATTCAATTACAGTAGAAATTTGACGGGCGTTTCCTGATCAGGACAAGAAAAAGGCCTCTTTCTTGACGTTTTGAAAAGTGTTGGTATTAATGAAAATGCATACATTTTGCAAGCATTCCAAATCATTTGGTTATATTTATATGTATGCCCAGTTTCGGAATGTTTGGAAATGTTGGTGAATTGCTTACACTTACATCAGTGTCCATACCCGCCTTTAATCCTGCAGGTGTGTTATGTCATATGTGCTAGGGGGTAGCGACACATAACCAAATTAATTACTTTTAGATGTGTACCGATGCATTTTATGTTAATTTGGACAATTTACGATTTCAAACCTTATTTCAAACGTTAGAAATGAAACATTTCCCTTAAACTTCCCGGTACAGAAATATTTAGGGAATTTTACAAATGCTTGACGCAGGTTTGGCATATATGAGATAAGATTGGCAAGAAATACCAAGAGAAATACAAGCCGAATCAATAACTTGTGTCACTTTATTTCCTTCCATGACCATGTACAGGCATCAATGCACCATCCAACCTTATGAAATACATTTGAAATATATGGCAAGTAACTAACTTGATCTCTGCATACGCTCGGTATCCCTGCATAGTCTGAAAACAAAGTCACAGCTCGTTAGGACAAGAAATGCTCACTACATTAGAGAGTGATGCTTTATTGCCAGAGGCCATAGGGAAGATAAAGCCTAAGCTTGTTTGTAACATTGTCACAGAGGACCATTTGACGAAGAAATATTACGACTCAAAAACTGTATGTTAAATGCAAGTGAACACGAACATTTAAGTGCTTACTTTTCGAACAACTCAAATACTTTCCACGAAAACATTTATGTGAACTTTTCGCTTGTACTATAACCGTCATAATTTGTTTAGGCCTTCATTTTAGTTAACCACAGTTACAAGACTTACATATAAAATGGTACACCGACTTCAATACTCAACACATGTTTGCATGTCGGTTTACGTTTAAATTTCTTGCTTCTAGTTTCATCAACATCATGCTTCTTACGCATCATTTCACTTTGTAAGGGCTAATGCATCAAGGATATGTACTGTCATTTTGGTTACCACATATTTGCACCCAGTAATATTCCAGCTGTATGGCGGCGGTCTGTAAATGATCGAGTCTGGACCACAGAATCTAGTGATTAACATCATGAACATCGATCCACGCAACTGGGATACGATGACATGCATCAACCAAGTCAGCGAGCCTGACCATCCGATCCCGTTAGTCGCCTCTTATGACAAGCATAGTTGCCTCTTACAGCAAGCATACAAGCATAGTCACCTACATATTTGTGAAACAGCGGGAAAGATTAGTGGATATATAGCACAGTCAGCCTTGTGATAAAGAAGATCCCCGTGTATGACTATGAAATTCCGAATGCTGCAATTTCATAATAGAAAATAGTAACAGCGTATATCGCCAATACCAGTTGTATATTACATCGAGAATTGTAAAAAATCAATTTTCCACCATCAGGTTACATGTAGTCAGATTTGCAATTAATTACACGTATAGACATTAATAGACAAACGTGTTAGATGCATTAGGTACACAACAGGCGTTACAGCGAGTACAGGCAATGATGCAGCAACACACTTTGCTTTGATTCCCTGAACAGGCATGATTACAGCAGGGCCATCTTTTTCATAGACATTCTTTGCAAAAACTTTCCCAAAGTGTAGGTCCAAAAATGTCTGATAGTCGTTGGTGCCAGTGTAGTCGGCAAACAACACTGATACATGTACACCCTTTCCGTCAACGAAAACCGTCATGAAAATAGTATCCATCCAACCGATCTTCCGTAAAGTCAACAGAAGCGGTAGTACGAGACCAATTGGCAATGATCATACTTTAACGAATCATTTTGGATGTCTCGGAACCAAATGTTTCTCCTGTCATTCCAACAACCTAAATTTGTTGAAGTGTCTAGTTATGTTTTCAACAGTTGCGTTTATCACTGCTGTGCTAACTACTGATATCAAAAATTATTTCTGCACATCATCGATATTGTCAGGATGGTGAGGTCCAATCATCTCCGTACCTGAGATATCGGTATTGTGTGCTGGGGTAATAGAAAACCCAGATGCATTGGCGCATTTGCGCTTAATATATTTCTTTATTTTTTCCTGTTCAAGTACTTAGTGTCCACAGGAGTTGAATACACAATCTAAGCGGGTGGTTCCCAGTTGGTACTTGTTGCTACCCTGTCTGGCGTTTGGCAGAGATTAATATCATGAGCATCGATCCACGCAATTGGAATACGATGACATGCATCAACTAAGTCAGCGAGCCTGACCACCCGATCCTGTTAGTCGCCTCTTACGACAAGCATAGTCACCTTTTACGGCAAGCATAGGTTGCTGAAGACCTTTTCTAACCCGGATCTTCACGGGTAGATGGAGGTTAGAAAAAAATGTAGGCCACAACAGAGAGTTCACATGTGGTAACAATGAAGACCACGTATACGGAGACAATCCTTGGCTGTAGAGTAACACCGGCTGTCTCTGTGAAGAACGGAACTAATACCCCTTGGCCTCTGACGGGCATCTTGTGTGCATATGTTTTTTTCCACTACATATTCCTCTAACAATCATTGAGGTATCATACCTGGAACATTATTTCTGAATGAACTGCATGTCACAATGATATTTGTCAACACATGAAACGTAAAAATGCTGTAATAGTTAAATAACGCAATTTGAAACATTACCAAAGACATTATTTACGATTAAGACTATTCAGTCTCTATTTGCAGACTATTTCACTAGATTTAGTTATATGCGCTTGTCACAGCTGTTTAATCCTTTTAATCCTTATCCTTACTGTACATCTGGCTTCATTACCCGTGTGTTCATTACCTGTGTTATTTGTTATACTGTTAACAAAGACAAAAAAGACGTTTCGGTGTAGATTCTAACACCGTTATAAGCATCATTTGCTTGATAACGGTGTTAGAATCTACACCGAAACGTCGCCCAATTGTAATAAAGAAGTTGCTCATCCATAACAATTTTGTCTTAGTTACCATTCCAACTTCTAAATGCCACTCAAAGATGTTATACTGTTGTTCATTTGGCTTCATCCAGGTATCTATATGCTGCTTGTTATCTATTACCTGTTGTTGGCAATGTTATCTGCTGTTTATCACAACATATCATGCATATATACCTCTCATCACTTGTTTGTTGTCACTCATATATACCTCTCATCACTTGTTTGTTGTCACTCATATATACCTCTCATCACTTGTTTGTTGTCACTCATATATACCTCTCATCACTTGTTTGTTGTCACTCATATATACCTCTCATCACTTGTTTGTTGTCACTCATATATACCTCTCATCACTTGTTTGTTGTCACTCATATATACCTCTCATCACTTGTTTGTTGTCACTCATATATACCTCTCATCACTTGTTTGTTGTCACTCATATATACCTCTCATCACTTGTTTGTTGTCACTCATATATACCTCTCATCACTTGTTTGTTGTCACTCATATATACCTCTCATCACTTGTTTGTTGTCACTCCATCTTGATAACTGTGTAAGAATCTACATCGAAACGTCGCTTTATGCAATTAACAAGAAGTTGTTATCCATACAATTGTACGTTCTCTTACTTACTCATCAACTTCTAGAATGCCTATCAAACAATTAGAAACCGCAATGCCGAGGGAACTGAAACTTTGGCACCTCGTGTAAGAAAAAACACAAATAAATAAAGCAAAATACGTCTTTTAAGAAAGCAGATATCTAGAAAACTAAACGGATTGAGGATATGTGATATACATGTACCTGTCTGACTGGGAAATGTTTTGTTTTGTCATAATTTGGGTAAAAGGTTTAAGCTTCCTTTTTTATTACGAGGCCCAGAGAGCTGAACTTTGGCAGAGGTGTATTGGACTCCACGTCACTGTAAACTGACAGTATGTGTATCATGACACAGACCTTTGAACATGCATATTGGTTACCCGTGAATGTGTGTCTCTGTCTGCCTGTCTGTCCGCTTGCTTGCTTATCTCAGCCCGGACCATAGTGCTAGCCAACTGAGATACCATGCCGCAGTTAAACGCGAATACCCCACTCAGACACAGTATACTGACCTGTCCTTGTGTATTCCCTTAATGATGAGCGCCAGGCACGGTAATAACAAGTGCCATTTATTAACGTCTTTTGGTGTGACGCGGGCAGGGTTCGATCCACCCACCTTCCGCTAACTGAGAAGACACTCAATGAACATGACCTATGAGGCTGAATCATGGTGGTTTGACTACGTATTACACTTAAAGCTCACTGAACAGAAATTTGTGAGCTACAGTGTGTTAGAGCTATGTTTTCAATTCCTTGTTTTTTATGACGGATTCATGGATTGTGACCGGCTGGGCTGGACAGAAGTAGGAAAGAAAGTGAGGCGTCCTTACATTTCAAGTGCTTGTGCGAGATAAATCAGTGTCGGCTATCCCTGTTTCGCTCGTCAGTGAAACGTTACCTTTATCTCGTGACCCATATATGATTACCCTGACGGCTGGGTGGTAGTATCAATCAGTGTATAGAGGAAGTGGCTGAGGGCGAGTCCAACGAGGATATCAGTGACGTGTTGATAACGGTGCAGTATCTACAATCTAGGCCATCAGACAACACAACATACGTCCGTTAGACTTAATCCAATTTCAGCTATAACATGGAGGTAACGTATACCTTGCCTTCTATACATGTCTGTTGTTTGAACGAGTGGCTAATAGTATGAGCAACGTGCCACGTCATTGGGGTAAGATGACATGCAGTGAACAGTCAGTCAGTATGACCACTCAATCCCTCCCAGTCGACTCCCACGACAATTATAGGTTACTGGGGACCAAATTATATCCGGATTCCCCGCGGGGCTTTTGCAGGTGTACATTGTAGTCATAGATAATTCACAAATTCTATAACTTCTTGTCTTCGCTATATGGCTGAATAAGACCGACTCGACAATAAGGGTAACTCGCTCACCTCACTAGTGTAGCTTGATTTGTCTTAAAACCTTTGGACATTTGCTGAGACTCATTTATTTAGCAGGCAATGCACTTTTCTGGTAGTCAGCTTCTCACAATGTATAACAACACATCATTGTGGTAATACTTTAACCTATTATAACATGCAGATAAATGTATGTTCATGAGGAAATGTTCATCATTATTATGTGTTGCTTATGTGTCTCGTATGCCGAGCATATACACACTGGTATACATTTTTACATGACGACCACGGATGACATGTCGGGTGGCAGAGGGTATTGGTTTTCACTGCGTGGATCGATAACCTACGCTGTCGTGTCTAACTATCTTACCTCGCTATCTGTAGCATTTGGCTTGACATGAAGGCTATCGGATGGACAGCACGCAACCATTTATACTATTGTCAGTGTGTATAAGAAAGCAGATTGAAGTCAGGTTGGATGCTAAAATTACAAGGAACTGTTTGGGGCATTGTAATGGAAAAAACATACTTGCTATTATTTTCATAGATAGACAAGACATGCTTATGTCAGTCGTTTTCGTCTTGACAATTCAGCCCCACCTCCCACCTTATTTCCTATATACTGTTGTTATTCAGAGAGAAAATAATCATATATTTTTTCCATGTATGATATAAATCTTTGTATTTAATACAGGTTCCTGAAGTCATAGATCTAAATGTTGGTGGACGGCATCTGACCACGTCCCTTTCTACACTCCGCAAGTACCCGGACTCCAGGTTGGCCGCCATGTTCAGTGGAAGATACCCAATAACTAAGGACAAAGATGGCCGGTTCTTCATTGATGTAGATGGAGATACGTTTCTACACATCCTCAACTTCCTGAGGTTCCAGACGCTTCCACCGCCAGAAGCTGCGCTCGCGGTGCAGAACTATGCAGAACATTTCGGATTAAGGGAATTATGCAACAGGCAGCAAGAATGGGGGCCAGTGTTTGTGAAATCCTTGAAAGAAAAATGGAAAGGCAAAATAGATGGTTACGAATCTTGTCTTCGACAAGTTCGAGATGGATTGCTGACCTGTAACTTTGACAATGGCTATTTCTACATCCAGTTCTCGGATCTCTCTAAGCATATGTTCTCTCGGTGTAACGTTGCAGGCATATCTCATGGCCACCTTGTTATCAGTGTCACGTTCTACTCCTCGAAAACCCTGAGAAGCACTCTCATTAGGTTCCTCAACGATGACCTGAGACGTATCAATGTCTTTCTTGAAGGGGAGGAGGCATACAGACCGGAATCTTCCTGCGAGTGCAGAGTAGCATTCAGATACATCTTGAGATAATCTTGGACGATGTAGATCTACCGTATACACGAATCCACTCAGTCTGGTAACACTTCAAGAACACGAACACGAACAGTAACGAACAGTAATATTATTCAAAGGTCAATTCAGTTTCCCACCGGAAACGAACTGCATCACGTCGAGCTTTCCTCCCACATTAGTCTGACACACCATGATGTAACTGGAATACTGTTCAAAGCGGCGTTAAACCGAGGAGGCATACAGACCAGAATCTTCTTGTGACTGCAGAGTAGCATGCAGATACATCTTGAGATAATCCTGGACGATGTAGATCTACCGTGTACATCAATCGACTGCTGACGTTTCTAGAAACTTACACGAACAGTAATATTATTCAAAGCTCAGTACAGGTTCTCACCGGAAACGAACTGCATCACTTCGGGCTTTCCTCCCACATTAATCTGACACACCATGATGTAACAGGAATACCGTTCACTCACTGACTCTTACTTGAAACAAAAAAAACAGTTGTGGGTGACAGTTGTGACAATTGTATACGATTTCTTCATGTTAATTATGAGTAATTTAGATTTGAGGCTGCTTTTCCCAATATTACATACGTATCACAGCGTTGTAAATAAAGCATTTGCCTCACATATTGTACCCTATGATTAAACCAGCATAATTTTGCCACACTGTTGTTCTTGCTGTTGATTCTGAGCCAGGAATACCCTGACGCAACTATAGGTCATTATGCAAAATCATAGTGAAATTATTTATCAACAATAATATGGTTTAGGTCGGAGAAAACCCTCGAATCTGTTGATACCAGAATGGAAATTCAACCCGGTTTTTGTCAATGTGACTTGTACACAAGACTCGCACTGCAATGCCACGTCCTATAGTCAATATATATAGAAAGTGAGTTTGTACCCGTATAGATTAAATAGATACGACAATGTTGTGTAATTGCTTCGCTTCGCTAATTATCCTTCTGCGTTGCTATATGATTTAAAGACATTATTCATTTTAAGAATTGGAAACAAAAATATATAAAAATTTAATACTCGTACACTTTCCAGAACTCATTAAGTGCAAATTCAATTAGTATTTGAAACCCAACTAGAATAGTGCAATGTGTTGTCTGTGTTAATATGATAAATAATACAGTCTGGGCCAATGCTGCTATAGGGACAGTGTTTCAATATTTTGTGCCTCATGTGCCCCTCTGGCAGATGAAGGGGATAACGTATGTTTGTTGTTTAGTATTCTTGTTTAGCCTTTCTACTCTCATTTCAGTGCAAAATGTTATGGTATATTATTGGTTACGAAAAGCTTCAGCGTTTTGCTGCATACAATACAATTTCTTGAGAGGGGCGGTCGGGTAGCCTAGTGGTTAAAGCGTTCGCTTGTCACGCCGAAGACCCGGGTTCTATTCCCGACATGGGTACATTGTGTGAAGCCCATTTCTGGTGTCCCCCGCCGTGATATTGCTGGGATATTGCTAAAAGCGGCGTAAAACCATACTCACTCACTCACTCACTCAATTTCTTGAGTACAGTATTGGGACTGGGATAATAGGATGATATGTGCCATTAGAGGGGTGCATGGAATTTCGAACTTAGTAAAGGAACACTGCCACAGAACAGTACCCACGATAGTACTAGTTTATTCACCACGATAATTATTGTGTATTTTTTACACAGAACATAATCGAGTTGATTCAGAAGAAAATGCATACAGGGACGAACTGGATTATTTCCGTGACACAGCCATTTGTCTGGCCAATGTTCATCCGCTCAGAACAGCTTGAACCATGCGTCACATAGTGTTGGCACCGTGTTCACAGTACACAGTAGAAATCATGAATACTTTCCCATGATAATAAGTACATGTACATCTTCACAGATGGTCTTTCTGAAAAAATGGTACTAAATTGAAAAATGTTGAATACCTTGACAGTGACTCTTAATTTGATTAATTCAAATTGATTGATTCAAATTAAAATGATCGCATAAGTCGTCAATGTTGTTCTATTATTAAATCATCAAAAGCATCATGCCGTCACTTGTCTAAATGACTCACTGAACGTACTGCACTGCTTTCCAAATTAATGAAAAAATGGTTGACATGTTAACGTATCTAAATCTGAAGCCTGTCTCAAAACAATCCTTATGAAGAGAAATTGTCTGGGACCATATTTGCTCTGATAATAGATGGTGCCGGAACGTCAAAAACTGCAAATATGTTAATTATTTATATTGCGTTAAAATAGTATAGAAAGCTGTGAAATATCTCGAATAGTGTCATATGTAAGTTGTGTTGTTATTGTTGAAAATGTTATACAATAACATGCTCACATTTGTGTGAAATTGATCTAATAATAACATGTGCAGGGTGAAAAAGAAGCACAGGTCGGCAACAATCCATCCCTCGGCTGTCATATTTAGACGAGATGAGTGATCGAAATCCAAACTCGACAGCATACTCGTATAATCAAAGGGACAGAACCGTTTCCATAACTATAAAAAAGTCTCTGCCCAAACCAGAACCCTTTGAACGATTCCGACTATAGCATAGGAACAGGATTCCAAATATAAGATCAAACATTTGATCATGAAGACCATCCAGTGTGAGAAGCGTGAACACCAGCCATGAATTAACGCAAATCAGTATTTGACTGTGATTCGGTGCAGACTTATACTGCAAAGGCATACGTGTAACACTGTGAAAAGAAATGTCTCCGGTAGTGATGCCACACGGCTACAATGTTACAAATTTAGTATCGGGTGAAGGTTGGTTGGTTGGTTGGTTGGTTGGTTGGTTGTTTAACGCAGTACTCAGCAATATTCCAGCTATATGACGGCGGTCTGTAAAAAATCGAGTCTGGACCAGACAATCCAGTGATTAATATCATGAACATTGATCCACGCAATTGGGATCAATGACATGCATCAACCAAGTCAGCGAGCCTGACCACCCGATCCCGTTAGTCGCCTTTTACGACAAGCATATTCGCCTTTAACGGCAAGTATGGGTTGCTGAAGACCTATTCTACCCCGGAATATTCACCGGTGAAGGAGTGATATTAAAAAAACGCTTTCCATAATCATAAGAAATCTGCTAAAAGAACATCATAGTCTAGCCTGTTGACGCATTTCGTCGCATGACATGCTTTCCCTTTTTGCGAACACCTGGTGTGATAACTGATTTTTGGTTATCATAAATATTATTTTCACCACTATTTTGCCTTTTACGCTAAATGGAATCTGTTTCGGTAGATAATCGAGAATGATTATTCTCTAGCGTTGCCGTTTTATATTAGGTCTGGTGTATTTGATTATATAGTGATGGAATTAAGTCATAAAATATAAATATCGGCCAATCTTAGGCTAGCAACAAACCTGGTGAATATCACCGTGGTAGTAGTGGTATGGTCACGCGCCATACGAACTTATTCCCTGTCCCTTTCTAAACACCGTTTTGGAAAACTAGGGTCTCAAAGCTTTCTAAAGAAACCAAATACGTCTTCCTGTTTCTCTTTTATTTTGCCGGCTAGCTGAAGATTGCCACAAATCGGTGGTGGTGTGTGCTTGTGACATTACGTACTGTGTGTTAGTCATCAGGGATGAGTGAGTGAGTGAGTGAGCACAGGTATGGTGCTGACAAACCTAGAAACATAATCGGGGCGAACCGGGATTAGAACCCACAATCATAGGTTTCTGGCGTGCCCAACGGACGCAACTCTGCACAGCGAATCGCGGCGCCTGAGACGACTTGGCCACCCGTGCCCCCTCATCAGGGATGAACACTCCAATCACATTCGATGAAGAAATCGCCCTGTATACGTTTCGATTTTTACAGGTAATCAGACATTTTAAGTATACATTTACACAATTATTACCAGCTTTTTTGCTGACATGTTCAACAACATAGACATGACTTCCAGATTTCTTCGCGATTATCCGCAGTCAAACTTGTATGTTAGATTATTATCACAAAATGTCCCTCTCCTTTCCAAATAACCGACTCCATGGTATAGTGGTCAATGGTTTGATTCCCTGACGCGTCCTACCAAAATACTTGTTGTTACCTTGCCCGGAGTTCGACATTAAGGAGAAGAAAAAAGGAGTCAGTATAATATGTCTGTGTGGGGTATTTAGTGAACAAGCACAAGCACCCCCCCCCCCCCCCCCCCCATCACCCCCACCACCACCCCCACCCCCACCACCCCATCCCCCCACCCCATCCCCACCACCCCCCCTCCTCCCACGTGCATGTAAGTCTCTATATATGTGACATAATCACGACGTACAACCCCACTGTACCTTACACCTTTTGACAACAGCAGCTGTATATGTATGTATACCCCCGACTGATGCTGCAACAACGAATGTATGGCCTGATGTTTCAATCTGCCATTGTAAGGAATTAAAACAATTTGAAACGGATAGAAAACAGCTGTACGATTGAGCTGTCAACTTGCGTTGTGTCACGTGACTTGCATTGACCTTTGAACAGTGTGCAGCTTAAAACTACACGTGACAACATACGTTATCTCTCACGGAACAGGTCGGTACAAGGACATTACAGCAAACACTGTTATAATTATCAAGGACACTGTTATCAATCTAGCATCTGGTGCTTCGCAATATGTCTTCAAGTGTAAGTATTACTAGCATTAATTAATTCATTTTTTCCTGATGACAATGCAGCCTTAACATAGTATATCGCGCGATCTCCGCTCCAAAACACCTGTAGCGCGAGGAGTATGTCCTGTTACATTGTGTGGTGGTTCAGGTACATATTTGTAATATGAACAGCATATTGATCATTAACTATCAGATATGTAAAACAGGTAAGTGTGTAATAAATAAAAGTAGTTCAACTTTGTCAATTAACAGTGGACATAGAGTCAGGACAGAGAGCATAGCCTAACTGACCTACATACTTCCCCGAAATCAAACCGAAAGCGGATGTGCTTCTTTGCTTAGAAGTCGTCTTGACTATCCAGCTTTCTCGACTAACATAACGATTGATGTAAAGGGTGTGGAGGGTGGGTAAATATATCCCTTGGCGTGACACCAAAGGCGTTAAAAGACGGTATTTGTTGTTACACTGCCTGTCGTTCGGTTAAGTCGAAGCCAGTATAACGTGTCTGTGTGTGGTATCCATGTTAAACTGCGGTATGATTCCCCAATGCGTTAGCAATAACAAACCGGCATTCGCCCAAAGTAGTACAGGCACACGCAAGCACGCACGCACACGCAAGCACACACGCACACACACACGTACACCACATAATAATTATATACACCTTAAACGAAAATTCATTAATCACAAGTGAAGACCAAATTGCTATGCAATAAAAAAGTCAAATACTCATACTGCAATAATGATGTTGATTGTACCCATGCGATACCCTCACTTCATTTCAAATTGACAATAGCTAACCCTTTCATTGTACTGTCACATTAGTTTTAAACCAATATCATCTTGTCTTCCACCAGTTTCCAATCCCGTTTTTCACAATAAAGGATCTATGTACTTTACAAGGACCAAATGGTTTGTATGCCGGTACAGTGACCTTTGAACAATGAAGTGAATGTAAACACTCAGATGGGAAGGTAAATTTAAAATCCGCATTGTAAGTAGCAACCAAGTGGTAATGGCC